ACAGAGAGAGAGAGAGAGAGAGAGAGAGAGAGAGAGAGAGAGAGAGAGAATCTCCTACTTTGCTGAAAAAGTCTAAAAGAAGACATCCCAGTAGCAATGAGCATACCTAGTGCCCAGATCTTGGTATCTAACACCATTCCCCTTAAAAGGAGCAGGACTCCTCAGGGAAATGCCTGATTCCACAATAGGGACAGGACAGGTACAAGATGAGTTCAAAATATTTTTCTACACCAGAAAGTAAGGATATGTTAAAAAAAAAAAAATGGTGGGAGAAAGAATTGGTGGGAATGTGTCACATGGAGACAGGGACCAATTTGAAGAAGCTCCCACTAGCCACATCTGGATGCTAAGTACCAAAATATTAAGTACAGTAATAAATTACAAACTACTGAAAAAATATGAATTGCTGAGTCCACACTGATAATACATAATAAACAGAGAAGAGGAAGGAGAGCTCTTGCTCAGGAGAAAGCCAAAGACTAATAATCAGTAAGTTGGAGAGACCGCTAGAATGAGATAATCCTTTTTTTGCAACCATCATGGCAAAGATTGGATCCAGCAAAAATCATTAAAGGATGCTAAATCTACAGTAAATTTTGTCTTCAAGTGTCTTATTAGCTACAAGAAAGGGAAAAAAATCCAAAACCTACACAGTGGAGAGATTAGACAACATCTTTACTGGATGATCAAAATTAACATCACCAGTGGGGTCAGATGGCCATCATGTGCCTAAGACACTATCACCTGTGCAATGCTCTGAGCATGCTGAGACTCAAGCTAATCACGAGCAAACAGCAAACAAATCCAAGGAACACCGTATTCTTAAAACATGTCGATGACAGAGAAGACAAAGAGAGCTGTGGAAACGCTCCATATTCCAAAGGAGGCTACAAGTCATGACAACTAAATGTAATATCTGTCTCTAGACCCTGTACTGAAGGGCAAAACGGCTATCCATGATTTTATTAGGCCACTTGACAAAACTGGAACATAGATGATACAGTAGATAAAAATATTCAATCAAGGCATAATTATGAAATTAATAACTATAATGTGTTTTATATAAAAACTAAAGGCCCGGTGCACGAAATTCGTGCACTTGGGGGGAGTCCCTCAGCCTCACCTGTGCCCTCTCGCAGTCTGGGAGCCCTCAGGGGATGTTCGACTGCTGGCTTACTCCCACAAGGAGCAGGCCTAAGCCGGCAGTCAGACATCCTTAGCACTGCTGCAGAGGTGGGAGAGGCTCCTGCCACCACTGCTGCGCTGGCCAGCCATGAGCCCGTGTCTGGCTGAATGGCGCACCCCCTGTGGGAGTGCACTGACCACCAAAGGGCAGCTCCTGCATTGAACGTCTGCCCCCTGGTGTCGGTGCGCGTCTTAGCGACCGGTCGCACGGCTGTTTGGTTGATTTGCATACTAGCCTTTTATTATATAGGGCATTTTACTCTTTTTTAAAAAAAATATATTCTATTGATTTTTTACAGAGAGGAAGGGAGAGGGATAGAGTTAGAAACATCGATGAGAGAGAAACATTGATCAGCTGCCTCCTGCACACCCCAATTGGGGATGTGCCCACAACCTTTGAGAGGAATCAAACCTGGGACCTTTTAGTCCGCAGGCCGACGCTCTATCTTTCAGAGAGGAAGAAGGAGAGAGGGAGATAGAAACATCAATGATGAGAGAGAATCGTTGTTTGGCTGCTTCCTGCATACCCCACCCTGGGGATTGAGCCTGCAACCTGGGCATGTGCCCTTGACCAGAATTGAACCCAAGACCCTTCAGTCCACAGGCTGACGATCTATCCACTGAGCCAAACTGGCTAGGACAGAAAATATTTTATTCTTAGGAAGCACAAACTAAATATTTAAGAAAAGGGGCACAATGTACATAACAAGCTCAAATGATTCAGAAAAAAATTATATGTGTGTACATATATGCATACATATATACACACATATGTATGTATATACACACACAGAGAGAAGTGTGTGTGTGTATAATTTTACTTTTTGTAACTTTTATGAATTCAAAATTATTTTCAAGTAAAAAGTTTTAAAAATTAAATAGGAAGGAAAAATATTTTTAGGTTAAACTAGTAAATTTGATATATTGAGTTTCCCCAGAGTTGAGAAAGAATATAAGACACTATACCACAGGCGAGATTCTAAAATACCAAAGTATTTTCTAATTTACAAACTAATATTTATTGAGTATCCACAACATGACTAGGCCTCATTAATCTCACAGTACTGAAAGCAATTAATCTCAAAATATAAATGTTTTAATTAAAACTGCTCAACCAACTTGTGCATACATTAAAGCTTCAATACACTCAATTTCAAAAGGGTCCTAATTAACCTTAACTACACATAAATGGAAACTAATGAATCGTCATCTTCCTCTACCAAGAGGTATCACTTCTTACCTCTTAATTTGAATGAGAATTTAGCTTTAAGTATTTCCTATTTAAAACAGAGAGAGGCTGGCTGGTGTGGCTCAGTGATTGAGCATTGACCTATGGACCAGGAGGTAACACTTCAATTCCCGGTCAGGCCATATACCCAGGCTGCAGGCTCCATCCCCAGTAGGGGGTGTGCAGGAGGCAGCCAATCAATGTTTCTCTCTCACACTGATGTCTGTCTGTCTGTCTCTCTCTCTCTCTCTCACTTTCTCTCTCTCTCTCTCTCTCTAATCCTCGCCCTCCCCCTTCCTCTCGCTCTAAAATCAATTAAAAAATGCTTCACAGGCCATTTTTCCCCAGTGGACAGGCTCTTAGAGATAAGCCTGACAGAGCTACCAAAAGGAGGCCAGTTTCTAATAAGAGACACCAAGTCACATCACGTCCTTGAATTCACATCTATTTCTATTTGGGTGCCCACTGTGACATAAACATGTGTTGGACAAGTTGAGCCTGGAGACAGGAGCCCTAGTTCAGCCGTCACCCTTCTCTACCGATCAGCTCTATGACTTTCACCAAGTCAACTCTCTTTCCAGCATTTTCCCCAGCTATGCA